GGACTGAAACAACCATTGGTGACATTGGAGCTGAGAATAGATAGCATGTGAATTGCAAGTGTGTCTTGGACTGTGACCTGTCCTGGTGAGAGGAACGGAGAAGGTCATGTTTTCAGTGACAATACTCCAGGCAGTCTGTAGACTCATGGACACATTTTGCGTGTAAGATGTTTACAGGGAACAGACCCCTGCCAACAGTAACTGCCAAAGCATGCTTTGTAAACCCAACAGAAGGTTGTTTGGTTTAGGACAAAACTGTGCCAAGGATCATTCTGGCAATTTAACAGTTGCTCTCTAGTGCCATTCACAGCATCATCCAAGTCAGCAGTGTAGATGAAGCCAAAGTTTGTCCAAACGTACTTATTTTTAATTTTATTTTATTCCACTACATCTGTCTGAAGCCATTAGCAGCTTCTAAAATAAATTCCATAGTCACAAATCAACACTTTTATTTGTTATGATTTTAAAGTGGCTGTACAAATTGCAATTTTGTAAGCTGACCTGCAGAGTGCAAATAGTGGAAGAGAAACTTTTCCTTGAACCATACATCTGAGCAAGAGGAGTAATTATGGGTGTCTGTCATTCCAGTCTCAATATCTGCAGAGTCACTGGGATGCCATCTGTTAAATTGACACCTGGAACCTGGATATCCTTCCTCCTGACAGGACAACTCCTTGCTTATTTTTTACTCATCATCTTGTACAAGTTTGGTCTTCACAACCTACAAGAGATCAGCCCTTCATTTATGTCTCTAAAGCACATGCAAACAACTGTCTCAAATAAACATACTTAGGTGGGACCTAATCAGATGACTTGTAAGATGAGGACCTTCATTTCCTGACCTCACATGAAACAGGGCAGAGTTGTGTTTTCACCTTCTCAGTTGTCTCCACCTTCCCCTGTTATTTCAGGTTCTTTTAAATCCATACAAGTCACAGTACCACTTGAAAGAGTAATTCTTTTTCCAAATTTGCCATTAATATTATTATAAAGAATGTTTCCAAAATTTCTGAAATGAGCTATAAAATACTCCAGGACTGAAAAAAAAACCAGTTCATCAATAATTTAAGATTACTTACTTATAAAAATTGAGACATTGCTTTATACATGTGAAAGTACCTTCATGGGATAAAATACTTGATGATGAATCTCTAGCTTATCAGAAAAATGTGTAACAAAAAACCAATATGTGGAGTTAAAAACAGACAATGCCAATCAAAAATCATGATTTTTAAAGCTGGAAATTACTATCATAGAATGAACTTTCAAAGAGCAGTAGCTGATTCTCTGTTGCTTAATGTGATTTCCAAGTAAGACTGTCTGCATTTCCAGGGAGTGTACTTCAGGTGAGCATAATTACTGAATGCAATACATGGGTAGCTGGATAAAATGAAGTGGTCTCTCTTAGGTACTTAGAGAAGATGAATTAGGTACTTTCTGGCCCTGAAAAGTGCGAGTCTATGAGAAGCAAGAGGAAATCATTACTGGATCTATTAAATCCACTTCTGTTCAGGTTATGAGCATGAGATTATGAGGCTGTGCTGCTCATACCAGAAATACTCTTCACTTCTTTGACCATTCAGGAAGTCAGCAAAGAGCCTAGAAATAAAGAGCTCTCCAGAACAGTGTGACATGGTAACCCAGCCACTTCCACCTGTCATATGGAGCATGGGTGAGCTTCTCCAACAGAAGCCAGAGAAAATAAATAGAAGCACAAAGCTACTTACAGAACTATGAGTACGCCGACTTACCAGCCCAGCCTTTAGAGTTCAGCTTTTCACATACTGAACTGAATGGTTTGATTAGATTTGCAGCAACAGTAAAACTAATATCGTATTAGATTAATAAAGAAATTTTATGTGATTAGGTAGTGAGTTGGATTGTTGAATTTGTTCCTTATGTTTATACACCTTCTTGTAAATCATTCAATGCGTTTATCTCAAATAGGAAAATGGTGACAGTAAAGACTGCACAATGTAGAAGCTGGAAAACTAGCCTCCTCAGAAATAGTCTGCTAAAAGTTCATATTCTTGATTATATTTCCAACTGATTCTCAGTGTATTTTTTTATCTTCACAGTCTGTTTTCATTTTTGGCTCTGTTATTGTTTGACACTGAACTGGTAACAGTGAACCACACCTTGCTGTGTTGTAATTGCTGAAAGCCTGGCTGCATGGTCACTATTTGCCAGTGTCTACTAACTTACACTTCTAACAATATAATAAGCAGTGGATAGAATCTTATGAAAGTATTGTGCAGAATGAGAATGAGTTGTGTCTGGCAGTTACAGTAAGAATCAGGGTAATGCCATCTGGATAATGAAAGGCACACAGAATTTATATTTGTCATTATAGCTAAAGATGTGAAATCCAGCACCTGAAGTGCCAGCAGGAATTGGAGAGGAGACACAAGGATGATTGGTCATGAATTGAGCAGACGCTGGTGGCTGCTAGATCTGCAAGGGGTAAATGTGAGGAAGGACAGATGTGTAATGTGGGGCAGAGCATGTAAACTGAACATATTATTAAATATGTTTGTGGATTAAAGCAGAATGTTTGAAGTACCTCAAGTATAAAGTGCTCAGCGTAGTTATCAGGTGACAGGGTGCAGCAAAAAGGATTGTTCTCTAAACTGTAAACTAACACCAAATGCTATGGCTTGTGGGTTTTTTTACGTACACATCTGTGGTTTTCATTGTTTAACCAGCATAGCATCTGATTAACATACACTTATTTTCTGTTTGCTACATGCCTTCTCCCTACCCTCTAAATTCATCATAAATGCATTGAGATTACTTGACAAGACTCCTCTTGACTTCAGAAAAGTTGATTGCAACCTTTTCTTAGACTTCAAGAGAATATTAATTGGCTACCATTTTGTGTCAGATTTCATCAGTATCATGAAAGAGGAGATCCTGGGGTGTGTGTTTTCTCATATTGTTTCTTCAGATTTTGCTGCTCTAAAGTGTACGCCTGAGGAGAGAACTGAAGTTTAGCAAGAGAAAGACTGTTTCAATATTTACCCAGCGCTCAGGAGATCTATGTTCACTTCTCAGATCTGCCAGAAACTCCCCAGGTAGTTTTGAGCAAGCTAACAAGTCGGTTTCTCCCTGTGTGCCTGTTCAGTCGAACGGCAATTATAGCGCTGCACACAGGCACGATTCCCTGGCTGGCAAGCAGGCTGGTGTGCTGGGGACTGTCACTTCCCTCAGCACTACAGTACCATGAGCTGTGAGTTTAAAATAGCCCCAGGGAGCCCAAGTGAGGGGAGCGTGCATCACCAGCCTTGCCAGAGCTTGGCTGGCAGCAGCTTTGCGCAGAGCCCGCGTACGCCCGGGCACAGCGAGCTGTAGCTGTGATGGAGCACTGCTGATGCACAGCCTGTGAGGCTGGGACACTCCTGGCCTGACCCTAAACCCCACGGGCCACGTTGCCTTTGTGACTCTGCTGTTGAAACATACGGCTTTTGATTTACTTATGGTGGTATTCTTTAAGGAATAGTTTGTCATTCTTCTTACTTAAGTTACAAGCATCTTTGGTTGTTCTTCTATTTCCTTTTTTGTGTACTTGCAAGCCTGGTATACCACTAGTGATAAGTGAGAGGCCATGATATTCTTTATTTCTGTTTTGCCAGGCTGCTCTGACCATCTTACAGGAAGTCAAAATCTCTATGTTCAGTACTTTAGGCTTTTGATTGCTTCCTTTCCGGAATTGCTGAGCCTGCCTTCCTAAGGGATTGGCTGTACCAAGAGATGTATCAAGCTTACAGATTGCTATTTTCTTTATTGTGCTCCTTTTGTGCCTCTTGAGGGTATCCAGTGACACCATCCATCCTGCTGTCCATTTGGGAACATCTGAGGAGCTGGAGCAAAGGTGGAATGAGTGGAAAGGAACAGGAGGGGGTAAGCATGTGAACCAAAAACTGCATCTCTGGAGTAGCAGCTCTAAAGTCATATTGTCCTCTGTAAGTAGACGTCCTCCCATGTAAAGCAGGGCTGCCAGCAGCCCTCCCCAGAGGCTTGGCTCAGCTTGAACACTTGAGCAGAGCAGAGAGACCCTTCCTGCCAAGTCTCCTCTGGGGTCACAGTGGCAGAAGATGTGGCTTTCCTCCATCATTTCACTATCAGCTGCGCTCTCCTCTCACAGGGAGCTTACCGGACTGGTCTGAAGCCAACACAGCTCAACACAGCTGAGACTTGGCATGGGCTGGGGGAAGAGTAGGGGAATAACTTCTTTGTGGTGATATTCTGACATTTTCTCTAGGTTTTGCCTTCTCCATGGCTGTTGAGAGTACTGGAATCTAAGCTCTGTTTCAGAAATGTGGCACTTGCCAGTCTCTTGAAGACCCACGTACTTTTGTTCAAGTTAGAAGTATTGTAATCATTACCTAGAGCTAAAATTAAAATGTATGGTTTTTATTAAGAGAACTAGAGTAAGATCAACATGATTTTGGCAGAATTAAAGGATAACTCTAGCTAAGTGCTGACTACATAAAGAAAAGGAACAAACTGAGAACATTTTGACTTGGCATCAATGGCAGGAGAAAAACACTTTGCCTGCATTAAGCCATATGCCAAGTCCCATAACTTAAGAAATTCTACATATTGGCAAGCATACAGAACTCATACACTTTTAAAACTTAGCAAATATGTACTTTCAACTGTATAGAATTTCTAAAAATTTCTAATTGTGATAGCAAGCGGAATATGAATTCAAATGAGCTTAAATTAAATTTCTAAAACTAGAATGAGCATTTAAATTAGTGCATACCGAGGAACAACTCAAAATAAATTTTGGGGCCTCTTAGGAAACATTCTGAATTCATGCATTACATGTCAAAGTAGCATATATTTTTACAAATACCTGGGCAATTCAGCATATATGAAATTGTAAATATGTGTTTCTAGAAGTAAGTAGAACGAGTAACATTAGGCAGAGGCATGATTATTGTTAGCACTTGTAATATCTTCTGGAATAATAAAAACAAGCTGGGTCTATTATGCCCTTTTTCATTATGTTTTATTTTATTTTACCTAGGCAATTTAATTTTCTTCATCTGTTGTATAATATAATTATTTGAACAGAAAATTTATGCTGCTGAAATGTTAGAGGCAACTACAAAAGAGCACAGTCATAACAGGATTTTTTTAAATGGGGGGAAAAGGCTTTTACTGATATTGTATTTTTTTCCAATTTAACACCTTTTTTTTTCTCCCTAAATAATAGGAAAGAATTTTTCTCTTTTGTTAGGAGTTGAAAGTAAAATATGTAAAAATGTCCTGCTGATGTACATATATTGTTCTGTCACAGCCTGGGCTGAAAGCCCCACTTTTCTCTGAAAGTTATTAACATATGCCAAAGAGCTTGTGGAAGGGCTGATAGAGGGTCAAACTCTATCCTAACAGCCTTGAGGGGTCTTGTCATGGAGACATGCCTTCCCACTGGCTTCACCCCAGCAATCACAGAAAGCTAAAATATATCAAGAGTAGTGGGAAAACAGCCACTCCTGAGATATGCCCCATATTGTGACAAAAACAGTGAACTGCATTAGGACTGTAAAAAAAAAAGTAAGGATAATATCATTTATTCATAATCCTCAAAGAATCTCCAGTGGAACTCATCTGACAAAGGAGTGTTACGTTAGGACACATAACAATGGTACCAGAAATTTGCCAGGAGATTTAACTGGAAAAATGCCTTTCCATTTTCAGGCACTCCCCACAATGGCAAGAGCAAAAAGAAATTAAATTCAAAAACTGAAAAAGAGATTGTGGGAAAAAAACCCATTTAATCTGGCAGTGCTGCTGGCAGTTGGATAAAATTTTTATGCCATGTAGCTGTGTGGTTTCTCTGTTCTGGTAACCCCTGCCTGAGCATGGCCTGCAGAGAAATCTGTGTTGATCTCATGAGTCATTCCCAGGAGATGGCAAATGTGACTAAAAGGCTGGAATACAAGATACATGTTACAGGATGAAAACCAAAAGAACTGGAGGGTGTTTAAAAAGCAGTCAGGAGATTAACTATAGAGAGACGGTGTAAGGAAATGGGCATGAAGGAGAGATGCAGAACATGATCACATTTATGTAAAAATTACCCTTTGTTCCTGTTGTCCTCCAGAGCTGCTGCTGGAGTGCAGGGAGTCCATGGCAACCCCACAGAGAGCTGCAGGAAAAGACAGTTGTCTCACTGGTCCCAACCCTGAGACAAGGCGACTACTAATGGTCCCTCTGGCACATATTCTCCATTACACACGTACCACAGACTTCAGATATCTGCGCAATAGTTTGCTTGGCACACGGCTGACATTGTCTTGCTATTTATGAAATCAGTAAAAGCCTTCTTGTTTCTTGAGCATATGTTCTTAATTAAAAGGTTTATTGAAGCACACTTGTCGTTCTTAAAACATATGGACGTCTTTTGGAATGGACAGGCAAATTTTCAATGTCACAGAAGGTCATATTCAATTACAAATACCATAGCATGCTAACAACACGTGTACAGCAGCTTCAACATCAATAGTGTGCCATAATGGGCATATAATTAAAAGGGTTGGGGGCTTTTTGTGAATCGGTGCATGAAGAAGTACTGGGTCACACCTGATGCTTCTGCACCCTGGTTTTGAAGATAGAAGTGCCTCCATGCACTTGTCCAGCTGACAGAAGCACTGAGCAGTCACCTCTCCTTCTCTCCTTCTCTCCTTCTCTCCTTCTCTCCTTCTCTCTTTCTCTCCTTCTCTCCTTCTCTGCTCTGCTAAGAGGAGCTTTCTGCTGTCCCACCACCCACCGAGTTGGCATTTGCCTTTAGAAGATTCTAAAACACAATATGCATTGGTAACACAAGGCAGACATTTCTCAAATGCTTCAAGCCATGTCCTGACATGTTTCCATTTTTCTTTCCCTCTTCCAGAATGCATGCATATTTTTCAAAAATGGGTCTGTAGCTCAGAAGAGATCTTTCTCAGATTTCCACTTACTGAGAAGCGTGTCACCCTGAAAGCAAATAAAATCAAAATAACAGTAGTACTAACAGACCATTTAATGTCTGCATTGTGAGGCTGTGGAAAGTGGGGGAGATGCAATATACATGCAACCAAACAAAACATCTTGGCATGAGAAGCTATTCCAGTACTTTGTAGACCATGTAGCCTGAAGCAATTCAGGGACAGAAATATAGAAACGTGTTTTCAGGTTCAGTTCAGTATTTCGACAAAAGAGAAACAAATAAAGAGAAAAAATTAGTCAGTATTAGTCAATAATGCATTTCAAAAGGGTGTTTTAATTTAAAATGTGAAAAAATGCTGAAGCTGCTTAAATCTGTAAAGCATAAATTAATATATCATTCACAATGTTTAAAATATCCTATTTTACGTAGTTTCTATTTTGTTGAAAAAAAGCGCCACTGAACAATTATTTGTTTATCTCTACCTGAGGCTGCCTGCTGTATGGCATTTCTTCTTCTCTTTCAGTTTTAATTCCTTTTTTGCACTTACACTACATCTTACTATCTCTAGCTCATTCTACACCATTATTTTTAGATTAAAAGAACACAAATTTTTAGTTACTCTGAATCTAATAGTGAAAGGTGATGAGAAGAAGATATTTTGTATAAATGTGTCATTTTGTTTGGACAGCAGAGATAAAATTCTAGCTATGTTTTTTAACAACAGTTCCCAAACAAGAATTGGGATGAAAAGCAACATAAAAGTTGGTATTGAAAATTAATTCTATATTACCAAAACCAAGTTTTAAAAGCGCAGCAGCCTATTCTATAATAACTTATTGTGGTGTATAACTTCACCCAGTATGGGCTTTTTAAATTTTGTGTTACAAACTTTGGAAGGTGACAAAAGTACACTAAACATATTAAAGACAAATACATTACCACTGATCTATTAATTTAGAAATGTGGATCAGTTGGCCAATTACCTTTTCATCTTTCTCTATGCAAAACATAGTAAGAACAAATTGTATTAGACCTAAGTACTTGCTTAACATCTGTTGGTTAGAACAATTACATTTAAAGACTTGTCTTCATTTCCTAAAGGACAAGTTAGACATACCTTCAGCCATGGTGTCACTGAACTTCCACTTCTGTCTGCTGTACAATTGATTGAAACATCACCATATTCTTGCATTTTTCTTTGTGGAAGAAATTAAAACAGGTTTGGCAGTGAAGGAATGTTGCAGCAGAAAGGTTCACAGGATAAGTGCTGGATGAAAACCAAGACTACCATTGTAGCAAAAAAAAGTTATATAAGTTGGTTTTATTTTAAATTTAAAATGTGTTTTAAATTTAACTGCAGTTTCAGGGCAGAATTTCTTTGCTTTATGCAACAGCGGCTAGCAATAATGAGATTTATTTTGGGAAAATCAACTCAAGTTTTCTTTGGGTTTTTAAAGTCTTTTCCCTCACCATAGCACTGTCAGTTTGGACTGAATAGGGTTTCCTTTTGTATTTTTCCATGCTCTTTGCTCAGTTGAAAGGCATCAAAGAAATTGTCATTTGTTGAGAGACTGGCATCTAGCAATCACTGTTACAAGTCAAAGCAAACTTTGCCACCACAGAGAAGCTTAATTTTTCTAATGAGTGTGTATGGTAGGATGCTGAGTGAGGTTGGGAATTTCCCAGTTCTAGTAGATGTTAAGCACCAGACGACTTTGCAGCTTTCATTTGTTTCTGAAATTACAGTGCTTTTAGAAGTATTTTCTTCTGGATTCTTAGGGAAGTCTAAGAAAGTCTGACCTGCATCCAGCAGGTTTACATGTGTGGGAGGAGGCTTTGGTGTACTTCTGCTTTGTATTCCTGTGGCCTGGAGCAGTGACTCATGAAGTGTGTGTACCTACAACATGCTGGCTCCCGTGGAAACCCTGCTGACTCCCTTCCTGTGAGCATCTCCCTGGATGCTCTTGCCAAGGGGATGCTGAGACCTGAGGTGCAGGGACAGATGTGGGATAATGCCACAGACACTCACACTAACCATTGGACACTGGGTATTCATGGATCTGGAGCTCCCTGGCAGCTGGGCTGTGCTAGGCCCATGTAGCTTTGTCCTTCCTTGATGAGACTATTTTAAGCTGCTATTCCTTTCCATGTGAGAAGCAAATAGGTTACCCCCAAAAATAAGTGGCCTCTTTGCAGCCGTCACTATTAGAGGTGTTGTAAGGAATGTGGAAAGGCCGCGTGTCATCATTCCAACGAATGCCATTGAGAAATGGGTACCCAAGCACCCAAGGTGCCTTGGAAAATCCCAGACACTTATGAAATCAAGCAACTCTCAGCTGTCCTTACACGTTCCAGCAAAGGCTGTCTCTCATTTGCAGGCTCCAGACTGTCTCTCTTTTCAGCGTGGGAACAGTGCTGCTTCAAGGAGCGACGACACGTTCCTGGTGCATGACAATGTAAAACCCTTGCTGCTCTGAAAGCAACCATGGCCTGACATATGGGGACAGCAGATCCCACTGAAGATAGGTTCATACTCTGGGTGTCAAAATGTTTCCCAAGGACTGGGCTTCCTGTTCAAGCTTTTGCTATTTTCCCTGGTTTGCATTTTGCCACTCATTTTTTCCATTCTTTTGCTGCTAGCTATTTTTCATTAGTATCTCTGGTCAGCAGGAACTTACCCTGCTTAAATTTTACAAGAATTTTGACAATTGAAATTGACCCCATCGTGTGTTTCAAAGTGAATCACAACAATTCTTCATCTATTACAAGCTTTGAATTGCTGAGACATCTGACCCAAATTATGGCTTCAGCTGTCATGAACAGGAATTTACTCAGTGAAAATCAGTTCCTCCTAAAGAGTTTGTTTCATACATGCAACATTTTTAAATGCAAGTTTGAAGATTAGTAAGGACTCTGTGTTATTACTTACCACCAACTGTTGATTTCCTCCACTATTTTAAAAACAGATGGAAAACCAATTTCCCTGAAATTTCATTCATTTGTATCAATTCTTAAAAAAGATTCAAAATAATAATACTTTAATGACTTAAAATGAAAATGGGAGATTACAGTCCAACTCCCTTAGTTTATTTTCATCCTTCCCATTTCCCTTTCACTGTTGCAATGCAATTTTTTAATGTCAGAAATGTTGCTGTCTACGCCTGTCTATGTCTGTGCTGCTGTTTCTATATCTACAAGATTCAAAATGTAAGAATTTGCCTTGGGATTTAATTTATTTTTTCACCAGCTCAGAATTTGATCGCAGCTGAATCATCTCAGTAACAGGTCTTGCATCTCACATCAGATTCCAGAGAACGGGCGGCAGTTTATCTGCAGACAGGTGTGCTGTCTCCATCCCAGGCTGTCTGAACCTGGGATGGTGGTACCCATCTGATGGTTGTCAAAGACCACCCTAGGTTGCGGGGTGGCTTCGTGTGGTGGAAAAACTTCTCCTCCAACCATGCTTCCACAGAAAGGCTCAGCAGTCTCTTGTTTGGTCTCAAGGCAGTTTATTGCTAGTTCTCTAAAAGATTGTCTTCTCTGGCTGCTGCGGTTTGCTCAGCAGCTCAGGCAGAGGCACACACACCCTGACACCCTCTCTGTCTGCTGTCTTCTTCTTCTCTCCCCCCGCCCAGGGCTGCTACTATCTTTTATACAGTACATTACGTGTTACATGTTTACAGTTTTTCCCCAATACCTACTACCTACATTAAATGGTGCTTTTCTACTCTAAACCAATCTGTGAATGCCAACATCACCAAGAACATGGAGGTAAGGAAGAAAAAAGAGGAAGGACAAGACTGGCCAAAATTCCTCCATCTTAAAACCTCTGACCCCCATGTACAAAACTAAAACCCCCCTGTACAGCACTAAAAAATTCTTCCTTCTACTTTGTAACTACTACTATAATATCTAAACTTTTGTGACTCCTTGTTCTTCCTGCAAGGTTGGTAAATCATTCCATGGCTCAAACTCAAAATCACAGCTGTTTCCCGCTGCCTGCCAGGGTCTCAAATGCTTCTGAGCGGGGCCTGGAACCTCCAAAAATGTCTGAGGGACATTTTGAGTTCCTGCAATGGTAGTACGCATCTGCCCCATACTGAGGAATTTTACTGGGACCTCACTTGCCTCTAGGCAGATGAAGTGCAGGTCACTGATTTCAGCTCTAGGGTGCCTTCTGCCAGCCTTTCCTTAGGAGGCAAAACCCCATATTCAGGCTCTTCCAAGTACTGAAACTAGTGGCACAGGTCTCTCAGAGCCCTTCTTGGCTAGTCTCACTTCTTGGAGCTCCTCCTATTCTTGGGAAATCTCATCTCATGGCTTATTTCCTCCAGGTAAAAAGAGTAAAAACGAATGCAAGGCCACTTTAATTTCCTAGGAAATTATACACAAAAGTACCCTGAGCTGTGATGTGCACACAGCCAGTCTCATCCCTGTCTGTGAGTCTGAGGCAGTAGACAAGGCAGGAGCTGTGATGGAGACCTTGCAGCACTGTAATCCCCACTGATGTGCCCTGTGGCCATGCACACGCTCGCTGGAAAGCAAACACAGCTCTGCAGGGCCCTTTGCACCGTCAGAGTCTGATCATGTCCTGACATCTTCTTTTCCTGGCATCTCAGGGTCTCAGCAGTATGTGCTGGGTTTCCACAGAAGAGTTTATATCTTGTTCAGACACTGTGCTGTGGGAAAGCAAAAAAGTCTTAATAACACCTTGTAAAATCTCATGAAAGCGATGCTGTGACACTCACCTGGTTAGCTGTCCTGACAGCTGCAGCCTTAAATAAGGCAGCTGCCATAAATACTGATGAAAATACAGTAGGGGCTACCACAGTGTGCAGCCAGAGTGACACTGGGTTGCTGGAAGGGCCACCCATGCCTGGAGGCAGAGTAACACAAGTGTCAATATTTCATAGCCTTTTGCCTTCTCTTCAAGTCAGGATACCATTGCAGCTAGAGGAACTCAGGAAGTGCAGGAAGGACAGGAGGCAGGTCCCTAAACACAGGTGTCTACTGCCATTTTGCACACCATATTTATATGTCTCTCCTCCTCTAACGTGCCTTGTCTATTGCACTTGCCTTTAATCCATCTGCCCCAAAGTCCAGCCACATGCCATCTGTCACACTTTCACAGCATCAGTGACAATGGTCTCCTTGTGCACCACATCAGGTGCTCATCAATATTCTCCCTGCCTGTGTGTGATCAAAACATTCCACTTCACAGTTTGTCTGCCAAGTGTCATCATCCAAACGACAGCGGTCATGGCTGGAACAAAGCATGGTATTTGGTGACACAACTTACATTTCTCTCTTTCCAACTCACCTCAGTGTTTTGAGTGCCTATCTCAATGCATGTGGTTATTCTCAAACCTATTTCAGAAAAACAGCTGCACTAAGCATGAGTTTAGATGCTATAAATTTACTTGATGCTGAAAAGACAAGGTTTAAAATTAATTTGCTCCAGCACACCTTTGTACCAACATGTCAGCGTTATGTTTTAGCCAAAAGCTGGTGCTATGTCTTACCTCAATCTCCAAGGCAAATTTCCATCATGTTATTTAAGAGGGAAGGAATTGCTACAAAAAAGAATGTCCAGAGTCCCTCAACAGCATTTGGTTCTGAGCGCATCAGAGAAATCTGCAATTGGCACTCTTGCCACTTACATGGGGCTTCTCTTGAAATGAGTTGTGAGAAGTCTAATTTTAATGGCAAGGTCTAAGGATGCTGCTTTAACTTCTCTTGTGATTAATGTTAATTAAGTGTTCTTCGTATGTGTTTACTTTGTGTATGAGTTGTGAGTTTTTGGTCTGAGTGACAACCATCTTGGGTTACAGTTCTGAGACTGGGATCAGGGAACCAGGGATGGTTTTGCTCTCACCAAACCCTGAGAAGAATATGCTCATTTGGTTTTATGGATCTGAAGATGGTATAGGAGGGATTTTTTTCTGGATTTTGCCTTGCTTTGCATACCTGATCAATGTATTGAGGTGCATGTCTCTAAACCTAGAGCCTGGCAACTGGAAATGATACAGGCTAAAAAATGAAAACTGCTTTGTGTGTTGGACCAGTGATGGTGCTGGGGATTAATGACTATCAAACATTTTATATTCTGTAGTTTGTCTGAGGCTCAGCAATTGGTTCCTTTTCAGTTTCTGTAAAAAGTATTTTGTGAGCTATTCAAGGTGTCAGTCTCTTCTTGGTGCATGTTCCAAGAGCTGACAGATTTATGTTTTGCCAGAGGTGCACTTGGGTAGACACAGTTACATTGACTGTTTTACTGAGCAAGGAAGGGAAGCTTTCCTTAGTCGTGTTGTAGAACTTGCAGCTGTATCTTGATTGTATTTCTGTCCAGGAAGTAATTCCAGGTTGTTTATTGGTCTTGAGTGCTTCTTTTGATCAATGTAATCTCTTCTTTAATTTTTATGTTTCTTCCATAGACATTATCTGTTCTTTTGGCAAATTGTTTAATGCCTGACCTTTTACTCTGGAGGAGTGATTTGAAACACTCTTAACTAGATGCTACGTGGAAAACATTTGGAACTGCATCCTCTCTGATCAGCCTTGGCTGATGTTTGGTAACATTTCCTTTCCAAGGAAAGACATAAGATAACTTATGGCTTTTTGGTGTCACACCCTCTGTGGTCCATTTGACAGGTTTTTTTACGATGGTAGATAATTTATTTTCCATCTTTATTGTCTCTAATAAAGCTGTAGATAAGAATTTGAACTGAGAGTTCACAGCTCATGTTTTATTTCAAACGTTTTCCTCCCATGACTTTCTATGACTCACCCTATATAAAGCATGTAGTTGTGGTACTGTTGGAATTTCTCCTAAGGAGATGGATTTCTTTTGAGAGATGGCTTCTTCTCCATTTGGGAAGTATTGAGAAATATGAAAGTGAATAATAATTTTCTGTAAGCAGCACATGGAAGTTCTGGGATCTGTAGAACTAACACTATCAGTCTTTTGATGAGCCTTAGGCACTAGCAAGAGTACGAAATAGCAAAATCAATCTTATAGGGGTTGTAGTATGACAAAGTTTGAGGTGGTTTGGGCTTGAGCTCCCAAATTTTTGCACCAACTCCCTTCTTTGCCCTAGGCTAAAGTGTGGGACACAGAAGGCAAGTGGCAGTGTCAAGAGCCACTTGGCTGGGAGGACCAGCTCTTCTTTGACCCACCATGTGAATTGACATGCAGAGGAAACCATGGCAGCCACCAAAATGCGGAGGAAATATTAATTTATTGCACTATCTCACGAGCAACACCGGGCAGCTGAGACACACGGGAACACGGGCTGTGCTAGGCTCAGCTCATCCTAGAGACCAAAGGCACACAGGGGCACAGGCTGTGCTAGGCTCAGCTCATCCTAGAAATCAAAGGCACACAGGGGTACAGGTTGTGTTAGGCTCAGTTGATCCTAAAAGGCTTTGTGCACACGCAGTTTATCACAAGGCTGTGTTTTTATGGTCTGTCTCTGTCCCAGCAGGAGGCTGAAGCATGTCCGTTGGAGTGTTATCTCTACACAGGAATTCTACTTCTCGAAGCAGGCAGAGGATGAACAATACTAGGCATAATAAATGGAGTTTTCCCACACCGACTTTCTTCGCATTCCCAGCTGCAAGGTTCCAATTCCCAGCTTCAAGCAAAAACCATTCTGGCCTCAGCAAATCCTCCAGTTTTAACCCTATCCTCCCAATACTTACATTTTACAGAACATGTGTCCAGTGGTGACTCATCAGATCTCATTAAGATCCTGGCATGGGTTGGGCTGAAGCTGCTTCTCTCCACACTGAGCCGTGACTCGGACAGCTGTGTCCCTGGGATGGCACTCAGCACTGAAGGTTTGCCATTAGCTTGAGATTCACAAGCTCTTTTTTCAGTTAGTTAGCTCTTTTTTCAGAGAAAAAAGAGAAAGACACTAGGGAAAAAGTTTTGCCACTTAGTTGTCACCAGGTCTTTACCCTGAGGCTTGAGGAGAGCTTGACAAACCCCCAGGGAATGAGGCAGTGCAGAGTTTTGTCTATTCTTTGGCTGTCATCTTTAGGCCAAGAATCTGGCAAATAGATGGCAAACTGTGTGGTTTGGCTGTGAACCCTCATCATTCCTCCTTTGTTCTCAGTAGGGTTTTGTCTTTGGAGCATTCAAATTTTGCCTAAAATACATGAGGTTTTTCCACAGTTTGCTTTCTGTTGATGGTGGACGTCTTTTGATTATGAGAATCAAGGGTTCTCTGTCTGTATTCCAGGTGTTTTTGCAGTAATAGCTGCATTTTTCTCCTGTCTTCAGTTATTGTAAAGTACCTAGAAAATGAGACAGGGCTTGGCTCTCACTGAGTCTCTTTTTAACTGAGGCTTAGTAAAGAATATTGTGAAATTGCCTTTGTGGCCTTTCCATTTTGCTTGCTCTTGGCTGCATCTGAGTAAGCAAAAGTATTTGAAGCAGGTATCTGAAAAAATTGGAATCAGATGCAAATTAAAGTTTTCACTCAGAAATATGCAAAGCCTGACATAGAAATTATTCAGATAATTTGAAAGTTGTC